TGAGTGCGCCGAGGTGGGCCGGGCCAAGCTGGGCCGGGCAGCAGGGGCAGTGTGGAGCTGGGTCGGGCAGTGGGGACACCGAGAGCTGGGCCTCTGTCTGGCTGCAGGGATGGTTAGAGGCCCCCGTGGCCTAGCCCCAGGCAGCCTCCTGAGCCAACTCCGGGGCTTTGCAGGACATGTGGCTCATCGAGGGGGCCCTGGAGGTTCACCTGGGCGAGTTCCACATCCGGATGAAAGGTAACAGGGCTGAGAGGGGTTGGGCGGAGGCCTTTCTGGAGGCCCTGAGACCTGCTGAGGGGCGCGGGAATTGGCTAGAATCCCAGGAGTGTGAACCCAGCCCTGGCTTTTGCATCCATGTGACATGTGACCTCTGGCAAGTCCCACCCCTCTCTGAGCCTGGTGTGAGGGCCCAGCACCCTCCTACCCATTATCCATCATGATGGTTTTCCCCTCCCCCCATCCTCACCCCACTGAAACTGAAAACCTATACTCGGGGGACCCCCATCGAGGACGTGTGGTTCCAAGTCAGGGACAGTGGAAGGCAGAGGGGAGACTGGCCATGTCTGTGTTCCAGGCTTGGTGGGCTACGCACGCCTCTGCCCCGGAGACCACTATGAGGTACGGCCACCCTCCGGGGTCAATCCTCAGGGCTCCCCACCAGGTCTTTGGGGGACGGGAGCTGCTGAGAACCAGGGTTGCAGGTGGGGCTCTGTCTGGCAGGGAGGGCCCTGGGCGGGCAGCAACGGGACACCCATCTGGGCTGACGCGGCCCCTCTCGGGCTGGTTCACAGGTGCTCATGCGTCTGGGCCGCCAGCGCTGGAAGCTCAAGGGTCGGATCGAGTCAGATGACAGTCAGACCTGGGATGAAGAGGAGAAGGCCTTCGTTCCCACGCTGCATGAGAACCTGGACATCAAGGTGGGGATGGGGCCTGGGGGCGGGGCTGGGGTGCCTGGGTGCTCAGCTCAGACACCACCCTCCAGCCTCCACCCCTAGGTGATGGAGCTTCGGGGCCTGGGCTCGCTGGCTGTGGGCGCAGTGACGTGTGACATCGCCGACTTCTTCACGACACGGCCACAGGTCATCGTGGTGGACATCACAGAGCTGGGTACCATCAAGTTGCAGTTGGAGGTGCAGTGGAAGTGAGTCCCGCCCAGCCTGGGGACAGCGGAGGCCTGGCCGGCTGCCCCTGGTGGCCTGACCACACTCTAGCCCTGGGTTCCTGCACCAGCCTCCACCGAGGGTGTCCCCGCCCTCACGGGTCCTCATCTGTCCCTCACTCCTGCCCCTCAGTCAGGTCGAGGCCTGGACCTTCTCTGCAGCCCCTTCCTGCCTTTCCGGTTTTGCTTCCATTCTTGCTTCTGAACCCGACTATTAAAGCCTCAGGGAAGTTTGCGGGGGACACTTTCCAGGGCCTCCACGCTTGGCTCCTTGAAGGAGGCTCACCTCTCCAGGGAGGCCCTCCTTGCTGCTCCCACCCCCTCATTCCTGGCCGACCCTGGCTGCCCCCCAGGCCCAGGGCTAAGCGGTCACCTGCATCCCCTTCTCGGCTGCAGACCCATGAAGCCCATGTCCGTGAGATCATTCCCTGGAGCCCATGAGCGTGCCCATGAGCGTGCCTGTGAGCGTGGTGGGCTCCAGAGCTCTTTGTTCTAAGGAAGCCTTGCATTTCCAAGGCGTTCCCTTCCTCCTCCTTGGTACAGGGGCAGCAGGAGGGAGGGCTGAGGAGCCTCGTCTGCTCTGTGCTTGCTCTGGCCAGTCAGGGCTGGTCTCTCTCCTCTCTCCCTAGGGTGGGTGTCTGAGCTGGGGGTCACAGAGCTGCTGCCCTCTTCCCCGTGAACTGGGTGAATTCTGGTGAGCGACCACCTGCACCCTCAGGGTCCTCACCTCTCTGGTAGGGCTGAGAATACCTCTTGCCCAGAGGCCCCTGAAGTGTACAGGGTAGTGGGCAGCTCAATGCCATCCAAGCCTAGGACCCAGGGCGCCTGCGGGTCTGCAGATACCCCAGGCAGAGAAGCGGGCACTTGCAGAGCCTCTGAGCTGTAGGACTTCTGGTCAGGCCAGGCCCAGGTGCCACGAGCCAGGCCTTTGTGCAGATAATTACGAGCAAGTTTCTTTGAGGCAGGAGGGTCTACAGGGACCTACCTGCTCCGAGTGCAGGGCTGGACACAGGCCAGGCTGAGCATCACTTGCCTCGGTGCTCCCATGCGCTCACCTGGCTTCCCAGCCTTCCCTGTGCATGTTCCACATGGAGGTTCTTCTGTAAGGGCGCCCCTTTTACAGACGAGGGGTCTGAACTGAGTGTCCCCTGCTCATTGGCTGAGCTTCTTAAAGGGGCCTCTAACTGGGGGTGTCCAGTTGTTATTGGTGGAGGGTCTTGACAATGAATTGTCCAGGTCCTTGGCGTTTTGAACAAAGACTTGAACAAAATGTACAAAAGTAGCAGAGGAATGAAATGCAGGAATGAAGCAGCAGGGCTTTATTAAAGCAAGAAAGCAGGTTGGGCACGGTGGCTCACGCCTGTAATCCCAGCACTTTGGGAGGCCTAGGTGGGCAGATCACCCAAGGTCAGGAGTTTGAGACCAGCCTGGCCAACAAGGCGAAAGCCCGTCTCTCCTAAAAACACAAAAATTAGCTAGGTGTGGTGGTGCGGGCCTGTAGTTTCAGCTACTTGAGAGGCTGAGGCAGGAGAACTGCTTGAACCTGGGAGGCAGAGGCTGCAGTGAGCCAAGATGGCACCACTACACTGCAGCCTGGGCGATAGAGCAAGACTGTCTCAGAGAAAAAAAAAAAAAAGAAAAAAGGCAAGAAAGCACTCTGCAGGGTGGGAGTGGGCCCAAGCATGTGGCTCAAGGGCCTGGTTACAAAGTTTCTGGGCTTTAAGTACCCCGTGTGAGGTTCCTATGGGCTGCCCCTTGTCTGGATAAAGGATTTGGTCTGTGGTTAGAGGCTGAGGTGGATGGCACCCTATGTAGATAGAGAGATGGTCCTTGTTTTGCCCGTAGCCCATCCAAGGCATCCTCCCTTTCCATCTGGGCCGTGTGGAGGTGGGAGGGCTGTGGGGAGCGTTTCTTTTGATCCTTCAGTGTGGGGAGACGGGATTTTTCCTTTTGGGTTAGCTTTAGGAAGATTGCGTTAATTGGCAATTCTCTGTCCTTTCAGACCTTGGTGTCCTTCCTTGATTTAGCATACATTGGCCTGAGGTTTCTGCCTCCAGATCCTGCTCTCCTGCTCCTAGTCATTGTCCCTCACCATCTGGCTCAGGGCCCTCAGGGTGGTCAGAGGCTGAGAAATTTTTTTTTTTTTTTTTTGAGACAGAGTCTCGCTCTGTCGCCCAGGCTGGAGTGCAATGGCGTGATCTCGGCTCACTACAACATCTGCCTCCCAGATTTAGGCAATTCCCCAGCCTCAGCCTCTCAAGTAGCTGGGATCACAGCTGCCCGCCACCATGCCCAGCTAATTTTTTTGTATTTTTAGGAGAGATGGGGTTTCGCCATGTTGGCCAGACTGGTCTCAAACTCCTGACCTCAGGCGATCCACCCGCCTTGGCCTCCCAAAGTGCTGGATGACAGGCGTGAGCCAGTGCGCCCGGCCTTGAGAAACATTTCTAAAGGGGTCGAGGCCATGTAACTTGGAGTTCCTAGGCTGCATCTGTGACCATGTGCAAGGCCCTGGCCTTGGAGACCCAGGCCTCCATTTCCTGTTTTTTTGTTGCCCAGACTGGAGAGCAGTGGCATGATCTCGGCTCACTGCAGCCTCCACCTCCCAGGCTCAAGTGCTTCTCCCACCTCTGCCTCCTGAGTAGCTGGGACTACAAGCGTGCATCGGTCACCACGTTAGCCCAGCTCATATATTCATTTTTTGTAGAGATGGGGGTTTTGCCAGGTTACCTAGGCTGGTCTCGAACTCCTGAGCTCAAGTGATCTGGCTGCCTTGGCTTCCCAAAGTGTTGGGATTACAGGTGTGAGCCACCGCACCCGGCCCATTTCCTCTTAAATCCGTTAAGTACAGTGATGTCTGAAGAGTAGCCAAAGCCTTTAGTGATCTTTAAGGCTTTGGAGTCAGAGAAATCTCTGTGTGAATTCAGTTCCATCTCGCGTGGTTGGTTGTGACACTGCCCTAAGCAAGTCACCTATCTCTCAGAGCCTTCCTTTCCTCCCCTGTAAATAATTTTCCAGGCTACAGAGGGCTGTCACTGGGGGTGGAAATAAGGATTTGTGTAAAGTGTTTAGTAGAGGCTGGGCTCAGTGGCTCACGGCCTATAGCCCAGCACTTTGGGAGGCTGAGGCAGGCGGATTGCTTGAGCCCAGGAGTTCGAGACCAGCCTGGGCAACATGGTGAGACCCTGTCTTTACAAAAAATAAAAATCAATTTAAAAATTAGTCCGGCATGGTGGTACATGCCTGTGGTCATAGCTACACAGGAGGCTGAGGCAGGAGGATTACTTGAACCCAGGAGTTCAAGGATGCAGTGAGCTGTGATGGCACCACTGCACTCTAGCCTGGGAATCAGAGCAAGACCCTGTCTCAAAAAACAGTTTAGAGCAGAGTTCCTTGCACACCATCCATGCTATTATATTGTAGGATGAAGACCATCTACCTGTGTAACCTGTGTAACCTGGGCCGTCTGGGCCTGAGATGGCCTCTGGGCACTGATGGCATCCTGGCCTTCTGTTCTCTCCTCCAGCCCGTTTGATACTGAGAGCTTCCTGGTGTCACCCAGCCCCACAGGCAAGTTTTCTGTGGGCAGCAGGAAGGGCTCCTTGTACAACTGGACACCCCCGAGCACCCCCAGCTTCCGGGAGAGATACTACCTGGTGAGTGGGCCTTCCCCGGGGCAGGGCTGCTGTGGTCACCCTGGGATGGGGGCAGCACGCGGGGGCTGGGCTGAGCAGTCTGGCTCTCCCAGACATGGCAAGCCTCAGGCTCAGCCTCCGTTTGGGGTGATCCTGGGTGTTCTCTTGTGCGCTTTCTTCCTCTGCTGCTAGCCTCCATCCCAGCCTGGGTTCTGGGCTTGGCTGGTTCTTCAGAACATCTGCAATGGGCTCTCTGGATGGTTCTACCACCCCAGCCATGGCCTTGGCCTTAATATATACGTTTCTAGTAATATTACTTGACAGAGTGCCTAGTAAAACATCTCTTTCCCGTGATCTCCATGGATCAGGGTCCCCTCCTTAATGCCAACTCCTGTAATCAGTTTCTTCCATATTCTTCCAGAGATAGCAATCCATCTACTAGCAAGTGTATGCACCTCTTTCTTTTTTTTTTTTTTTTTGAGATGAAGTTTCGCTCTTGTTGCCCAGGCTGGAGTGCAGTGGCGCAATCTCAGGTCACTGCAATATCCGCCTCCTGGGTTCAAGCGATTTTCCTGCCTCAGCCTCCTGAGTAGCTGGGATTATAGGCACACACCACCACATCCGGCTAATTTTTGTATATTTTTAGTAGAGATGGGGTTTTACCATCTTAGCATCTTAGCCAGGCTGGTCTCGAACTCCTGACATCAGGTGATCCACCCACCTCAGCCTCCCAAAGTGCTGGGATTACAGGCATGAGCCACCGTGCCCAGCCCTCTCTGGACTTCAATTTCTGTATCAGAGAAGTGAGAATAACAGCACTGCCCTTATGGGATTGTTGTGAGAGTTAACTGAGTTAATGAACACCAACCATTATCATTGGTTCAGCTGATGAGAGATAAGCGTTCGTGTCCATGTACCCAGATTCACACTGTGGCACTGTATTCACCACCCGTGTGGCCTGAGGACCTCTCCAAGGTCAGGGCAGTGCCACCCCCATGGGGCGTGGTGAGGGTAATGCGAAGGCCCTAGAGAAGGGCCGGCAACCTCAGAATGCTTAATGACCGTTGCTGCTGTTTCTATGGTGTGTGTATCGGGCCCTTCATTCATACATTCGTTCATTCATTCATTCACTTCACTCATTCAAAACTAGGCTGGGTGCAGTGGCTCATGCCTGTAATCCCAGTACTTTGAGAGGCTGAGGCAAATGGATCACCTGAGGTCAGGAGTTTGAGACCAGCCAGGCCAACATGGTGAAACTCCGTCTCTACTAAAAATACAAAAATTAGCCAGGCGTGGTGAGGTGCCACTGTAATCCCAGCTACACGGTAGACTGAGGCAGGAGAATTGCTTGAGCCCGGGAGACAGAGGTTGCAGTGAGCTGAGATAGTGCCACTGCACTCCAGCCTGGGCAACAGAGCGAGACTATTTCAAAACAAAAAAAATGAAATTATATGCTAGGCTCTGCTCCACGCCAGGCAAAGACTGTGCCCTCAGGGAGCTGAAATTCTACAGGGGAAATAGATGATACCAAAATCCGACAAGTGCACAGTTCAGCCCAGGGGAGTAAGGACTGTGGGAGACAGCAGGAAGGGAAGGGGCCCACTGGGGCCAGGTGGAAGTTGCCGCTTAAAAAAGGCTGTCCAGGGCGGGTTCTCAGGAGAGGTGACACCTAAGTAAGGTCCTGAGGAGGCGAGGGCACAAGCCGTGAAGGCACATGGGGAAGAGTGGCCAGAGCACAGTCAGTGCAAAGGTTCTGAGGCAGGCACATGGGGCCCAGCCCACAGGGCATGAGCAACAGTCAGGAGGCTGCTGGGAGTGAGTTGGAGGCGGAATGGAGGATAAGTGCAGAGAGGGGACAGGGCCTTGTCTGCACCTCTGGGATGCTGGTCGCCTGGGCAGGCCTCAGTCATCCTGAGAACACGGGCATGCGGAGCAGGTGTCTGTCAGGGGAAGCCCCTCTGGGGGACTTGCTGTGGTCCCTGGGGTGGCTGGTGAGGCCACTCCTGTGTCCCCTCTCCAGTCTGTCCTACAGCAGCCAACACAGCAGGCCTTGCTACTCGGTGGCCCAAGAGCCACCTCCATCCTCAGCTACCTGTCTGACAGCGACCTCCGGGGTCCCAGCCTAAGAAGCCAGAGTCAGGAGCTGCCTGAGATGGACTCCTTCAGCTCTGAGGACCCCCGAGACACGGAGACCAGCACGTCAGCGTCCACCTCAGATGCGGGCTTCCTGCCGTTGGCCATCGGCCCCCACGCCTCCATTGAAGAGGAGGCCCGGGAGGACCCCCTGTCCCCAGGTCTCCTGCCAGAGACGGCCCACCTCTCGGGAGGCCCATTTGCAGAGCAGCCCGGCTGGAGGAACCTAGGAGTGGAGAGCCCCAGCCTGCCACAGGGCTCCCTGTTCCACAATGGCACAGCCCCAAGTAGCCAGAAAGGCCACGAGGAAGGGGCAACCGGGGACAGAGAGGAGGGACCTGGCGTGGCCCTTGAGGGGCCTCTGCAGGAGGTCCTGGAGTTGCTGAGGCCCACGGACTCCACCCAGCCCCAGCTCCGGGAGCTGGAGTACCAGGTCCTAGGTTTCCGGGACCGGCTGAAGGTATGCCCATCCCACCCTGGGCGGCGGCCCTGCTTTGCTGATGGCATGGTGACTGGGAGTGGGCTCTGGGGCCACACAGCCTGGGCCGGCATCCTGGCCTCATCCCTGCGTGACCTGGGTAGGCCATGTCTCTGTGAGCCTTGGTTTCCTCATCCGGCAAGTGGGGATAACAACAGGCTTCATGGGGCTCAGGAAGAGTCTAAGAGTTCAGAGTAACAGCTCAGCACATCCAGCCAGAACCTGGCCCGTCTCTCACCTTCTGACCTGGGTGGGTGGGGCTGTGGCTCGTGGCTACAAACCCAAACTTGGAGTGTTGTCAGGGTCAGAGCTGGCTCCGTGGAAGGCCCCACACAGTTCCGCTTGCCTCATCCACGCACCCCGCACCGAACCTTCTCCTCCACAGGGCTCATACCCCAGGGCGTTCTCAGTTCACAGGAGGGCTCAGGTGGCAGGTGGCTTTCAGAGGCGCTGACCTGGGCAAATTATTATATTCCCCTCTTGTGTTTACACAAATTTGAATGTACATAAAATGTATACCACTAGTACCTATTAATACATCTATTAACTTAAGGGCATCCTTCCCTGGACACCCTCTTTTATTTTTTATGTATTTATTTTTTGAGACGGAGTCTCACTCTGTTGCCCAGGTTGGAGTGTAGTGGTGCAATCTTGGCTCACTGAAACCTCCTCCTCCCAGGTTCAAGCGATTCTCCTGCCTCAGCCTCCCAAGTAGCATGGATTACAGGTGCACACCACCACGCCTGGCTAATTTGTGTATTTTTAGTAGAGATGGGGTTTCGCCATGTTGGCCAGGCTGGTCTCAAACTCCTGACCTCAAGTGATCCCCCTGCCTCAGCCTCCCACAGTGCCGGGATTACAGGCATGAGCCACTGCACCCGGCCTGGACACCTTCTTTTAAATGGCAACTCCCACCGGGCCCTGGCAAGCCCATCCCTTCCTGCTCTGTGTTCCCGCGGTCCTTATGCCCTCAGATTGGCTGTGCACTTCTCTGATTTTGCTGTTTTCTGTTTTCCCCTCTTTTGTGTAAGATACACTTTGGCACTGAAATAGTTAACAGCTCTCTTCAAACACATTTTATCGCTACCCACACCTCCAACAGCACAGGAGAAACAAGTTTCATTTCTCACTTTATATCCATAACTTTAAAAATATGTTCCGTTTACCACTGCTATGGTTGTTAAAAAGGACCTGCCTAAAATTTCCAGAAAAAAATTTAAGAAATAATGTCACCTTTTTTGGTATTTTATGTTTTTCGTTTTTCTTGAGACAGGGTCTCACTGTGTTGCCCAGGCTGGAGTACAGTGGTGCAATCTTGGCTCACCGCAACCTCTGCCTCCTGGGATCGCACAATCCTCCACCCTCGGCCTCCTGAGTAGCTGAGGCTACAGGCACACATCACCATGCCTGGCTAATTTTGTTTATTTTTTGTAGAGACAGGGTCTCACTTTGTTGCCCAGGCTGGTCTCAAACTCCTGGACTCACACAAGTCTCCCGCCTCAGCCTCCCAAAGTGTTGGGATTACAGGCTTGAGCCACGGTGCCTGTACCTTTTTTGTACTTTTTATTATTATTATTTTTTTTTTTGAGACGGAGTCTCGCTCTGTCACCCAGGCTGGAGTACAGTGGCCGGATCTCAGCTCACTGCAAGCTCCGCCTCCCGGGTTCACCCATTCTCCTGCCTCAGCCTCCCGAGTAGCTGGGACTACAGGCGCCCGCCACCTCACCTGGCTAGTTTTTTGTATTTTTTAGTAGAGATGGGGTTTCACCGTGTTAGCCAGGATGGTCTCGATCTCCTGACCTCATGATCAGCCCGTCTCGGCCTCCCAAAGTGCTCGGATTACAGGCTTGAGCCACCGTGCCCGGCCTCTTTTTTGTATTTGAGTCAGCATGCACATTTGTCACATACTTGTATTTTGAAAAATTACACCCGATTTACATAAAAATGTTAATGCCGCAATAATGTAATCATTTTAAACATCTTTGAGGAACTTTTCTTTTTTTGGCAAACGAAGTCAGAACAATGCAAATTGATTACAGACCGTGGTTTTTAGTTTGACTTTCTGGAGAGAAATTACACACACATTTATGCAAATCTATGTGTATATGAATACATTATGATGCTGGGCGCAGTGGCTCACGTCTGTAATCCCAGCACTTTGGAAGGCCAAGGCAGGTGGATTGCTTGAGGCTAGGAGTTCAAGAGAAGCCTGGCCAACATGGCAAAACCCCATTTCTACTAAAAAGACAAAAAAATTAGCCGAGCGTGGTAGGGTGTGCCTGTAGTCCCAGCTACTTGGGAGGCTGAGGCAGGAGAATCACTTGAACCTGGGAGGCGGAGGCTATAGTGAGCCAAGATCGCACCAATGCACTCCAGCCTGGGCAACAGAGCAAGACTCTCTCTCAAAAGAAAAAAAAAATCGTGCGAGTGCATACATACACACACACACACACACGATTTATCCTCATTCTTCGTGGATTCTGTATTTTGAAATTCATCTACTTGCTAAAATTTATTTCTAACCCCCAAGTCAATACTCGAGGCGATTCCAAGTGGTTTTTGGGGCAGGGCAGAGTGATAGAAAATCTGAGCGGCTCGAAGCGCACATTCCCAGCTGAGGTCAAGTGAGGCAACGCTTTGCCTTCCTGTTTCAGCGCCCAAACGGTAAACAAGCTTCCTCATGGTCTATTTAATGCCATGTTTTTCAAGTTTTTGTGTTTCTTGTTGACGGTTTCACTGTTTAAATGCCTCCCAAGCCCAGAGCTTCAGTGCCGGCTGGTGTTCCTCAGTCCAGGAAGCCTATGAAATGCCTTACGGAGAAAATGCGTGCTAGATGAGCTTCCTTCAGCCATGAGTTGTAGTGATACTGGCTGTTGAGTTCAATGTTAATGAATCAAAAATAGCCTTTTTTTTTTTTTTTTAAATGGAGTCTCACTCTGTTGCCAGGCTGGAGTGCAGTGGCACGATCTCGGCTCACTGCAACCTCCGCCTCCTGGGTTCAAGTGATTCTCTTGCCTCAGCCTCCCTAGTACCTGGGGTTACAGGCACCTGCCATCATGCCTGGCTAATTTTTGTATTTTTAGTAGAGATGGGGTTTCACTATGTTGGCTAGGCTAGGCTGGTCTTGAACTCCTGACATCAGGTGATCCACCTGCCTCGGCCTCCCAGAGTGCTGGGATTACAGTCGTGAGCTACCACATCCGGCCAACAATAGCTATTAAATAAGGTGTCTTTAAACCGAAAGACACATACAAGGTTCTGTATTGCTGTGTTGATAAAACTGCTGTGACCAGAGGTTCACAGGAACCAAACCCAGTATCTCCCTTAGGAGCAGTGGTTTAGCTTTAGCTGTATGTCAGACCATGTGTATCCATTTTTTGTTTTCAGGTTTTTTTTTTTTTTGAGATGCAGTCTCACTCTGTTGCTCAGGCTGGAGTGCAGTGGCGCAATCTTGGCTCACTGCAACCTCTGCCTCCCCAGTTCAAGCAATTCTCCTGCCTCAGCCTCCTGAGTAGCTGAGACTACAGACCTGTGCCACCACGCCTGGATAATTTTTGTATTTTTAGTAGAGATGGGGTTTCATCATGTTGTCCAGGCTGGTCTCGAACTCCTTACTTCAAGTGATCTGCTCGCCTTGGCATCTAGAACATTACTACCTTGACTATTGAGAATCAACAGTCTATATGCATGTGTGTATTGATACGCACGTACATACACATGTATGCATATATTTTTGCATTGGAAAATGTGATCTCTGCAATTAGCCTTGCTATTCCCTTCATCCTCGAGATTTTCTCTTTGGGCTCAATGGTTAGGATCCTGGTTTTGCTTTATGGCTTCTGCTTGGGCTGTGCCGTGACTGCAGTTTGTGTTGGACAAGGCCTGGGTGGGGTGTGCTGGGAACGGGGGCAGGGACCAGCCCTGGAGCCAGCCACGAGTTGGGGACAAGACAGAAATCTCCAGGGAGGGAGCTGCCACTGGAGGCTCTGGTGACTTGACCAGTGGTGGGGTGGTGGCTCCAACACTCTCCGTTAACCTGTTGGGGAGAGAAACCCAACAGGGTGGAGGAACCTGGAGCCCACAGGCCTTTGAGCCTCGTGAAGAGGCGTTTGCCTGACCTACACTATGTATTTAAAATACTTTGAAATTTGTTGTTGGTATTTCAAAACTGGGCAGTTTCCCATACAAATCCATGTTTTAGGGTTTTCTTAGAACTGGGCAATCTATGAGCGTGGCCGCCTCTTAGGGGAGGCACCTGTGCTCCTGCCTCCCCGGTCCCTGCTGGGGCCACTCACTCACTCTTGCCATTGGGGGTTTGAGATACAGGGGAGGGTTTTCAGATCTGTCTCCCTCAAGATTCTGCTCCTACCTTGTCACAGGCCATTCAGGAGGGACTTTGGGGGGTGCCATGCCTGATGCCATGCCTTGGGCCAGCGGCTGGGCTTGTGCTGGGGGATGGTGTGTGGGATCAGGGCTCAGGACCGGACACTGCCCAGGTCTGCCGTGAGGCCCCTGAACAGTGTCCCAGTCGGATGGGTGGGGCCCGGTGCTGCCCTCACGTCTGGCCACTTCGTCCACAGCCCTGCAGAGCACGGCAGGAGCATGCCTCGGCCGAGAGCCTGATGGAGTGCATCCTGGAGAGCTTCGCCTTTCTCAATGCCGACTTCGCCCCAGATGAGCTATCCCTGTTTGGGGGCTCCCAGAGTCCCCGGTGAGTGCACCTCCTTCCAGCAGTAACCCAGTGGCCAGCACTCCCACCGGGTGACCCGAGCCCCACATTTCCTGCTGGCCTCCCGGTCTGTTTCTCCCACTCTCCTTGGCTCAGCTCTTGTCACTCTATCGTGCACCCCTCCCCACGCCATCCCCGCACATCCCCCACTTGGCTCAGAGCTGGTCCTCAGTGACCATGAAGTGGGTGAGATCATCCCAGCCTTGCCCTGAGCCTTCTGCTCCAAGGAATACGCTTTTATTATTACTTTTTAAACCTTAAAAAATAACCACCGAGTATATAGAAGTTCTTTGAGGTCAGGCACAGTGGCTCACACCTGTAATCCCAGCTCTTTGGGAGGCCGAGGCAGGCGGATCACCAGAGGTCAGGAGTTTGAGACCAGCCTGGCCAACATGGCGAAACCCCGTCTCTACTAAAAATACGAAAATTAGCCAGGCATGGTGGTGGGTGCCTGTAATCTCAGCTTCTTGGGAGGCTGAGGCAGAAGATCGCTTGAACCCGGGAGGCGGAGGTTGCAGTGAGCCGAGATCGCACCACTGCACTCCAGCCTGGGCGAAAGTGAGACTGTCTCAAAAAAAAAAAAGCTCTTTGCCCTCTAACCAAGGTGCAGCAGTACCCAGTGCCATTCCCTCTGTCCCACCGCAGGGCCCACACCTCCCATGACAGCTTCCCTCGAGGCTACACAGCCTCACCTTCCCCACCCTCCGAGGGCTTCTGCATCCACATCTCACCACGTGGAAGAGCGGGGGCTAAATTCCTTCTCCTCGCCTCTCACAGTCCCATGGGCCAGTGTGGGATTTCGTGCCACACTCGCTTCCGCCCTTCCTGAGTAGTCGTGAGTGGGTCGGGCAGCAGGTCCAGCCTCTACCACGGAGCGGACTTGGTGTGAGGTGCTCTTGCCCACCATATTTCATGCACCCCTCATGGTCTTGAGTGTGGGGCTCCTGCCTCCCTTGACAGATGAGTCAGCTGAGCCTGGGGGAGGCAGGCTTGTCCAGCGCCACAGAGCTGGGATTAGTTGGAATTGTCTTCTTACCTCCACGAGACATCCTGGAAGACGACTTCCCGCCCTGCCTTCCCCAGGCCCTGGGCCACACCGTCCAGCTCTGTTTTGAGTTGCTGCCGCCCTTTGCTCCTTTCCCCTTCCTCCTCGGTTGAACTCCCTGAGACCTGGAGTGGGCCTCCCTGACCTGGGGCTCTCTGGGAAGGGAGGGTTCCCCCTACCCTCAGAGGGAGCTGAACTGCTAACCGAATGGTCACCCAGTTCTCAATTCAACTCAGAAAGGACCGGCCCCTGCCCCCACCATCATCACTGAAAACGTCATCCAGGGAACTCACAGCCGGTGCCCCGGAGCTGGACGTGCTGCTGACGGTACACCTCCGAGTCTGCAAAGCTCTGCTGCAGGTGACTGGGCTAGGGGACTTGTCAGGGAGGGCAGACAGGGGTTTGGAGTCCTCTTGGCAAAGGGCTCATCTTGAAGGTAGTGGGAAGCATCGTAAGGGGTGACAGACCTGCATCCTGGAAGCCCGTGAGACTGAGGCTGTTCCCCAGTGGAAGAGGCAGACCAGGGTCTGGGTGAATACTCCTGTGGCTCTTATGCAGCCCAAGCCCTAAACCAAAGGCTGTGGTGGTGACTCTTTCATCTATAGATGCCAGAACCCTAATGCAAACTGGCTCAGCCAAGAGGAAAATGTATCGGCTCATGGCATTGAAAGCCTCAGAGGTAGGCTTCAGGCCTGGCTGGATGCACGGGTTCAAATGCTATCAGGACTAGGTCTCTCTCAGTTCTGCTTTGTAATGTGGGTTGGCTTCACTTTCAGGCAGGTTGGTCCTCCTTCTGGCGGCAAAGGTGGTCCCTGGCAGCCCAACCTGCATCCCATTAGCTCAGCCACCTTGGTGAAAGGGGAATCCTCAGATGACAGTTAGGGAGCTGCCCCCAGGGCAGAAGAGGTGGGCACAAGCAGGTGGGAGCCAGAGTCGTAACGGCTGCCCTCAGCGGGCATGTTCCATGCTAACCTGGAGCATTGTGGGCTGCTTCCCAGAAACTGGCCTCCCCTAATTTATCAAGGCTGGTCCAGGAATGCCTGCTGGAAGAAGTGGCACAGCAAAAGCATGTTCTGGAGACACTTTCTGTCCTTGACTTTGAGAAGGTCGGCAAGGCAACATCCATCGAAGAGAGTAAGTCGCTGCCTACCACCCAGGGGCTGCGTGTGTGAATGGCGCGCGGGGACGGGATCAAAGCTCGGGGAGCCTCTTCTCCCTTCCTAAGAGCCAAAGTTACTCAGGGCCCAGAGTGGAGGCTGTGGCTGGGCTGGGCTCAGAGATACACACTCTTTGTGGGGAGATAAGGGAGGCAGGTCTTGGAGCTGCAGCATACTCTTCAGTCAGCTGTGTGACTCTATAGGCAAATGATTCACCTCTCTGAGCCTCTGCTTCCCTATCTGTATAGGAGGAGGGAACTGCATAGGATTCAGTGGGCTAACCCTAGGCTACATTCAAGGTGCAGAATGTGCCCTCAAAGAGTAGTTGTGATCCCGCTGTGCCTCTGCCCTGTGGGACCTCCCCTCTCAGAAGGCCAGGTTCCTTGTCCGTAAGGAGAGGCTGGTGACAGCAGCCCCTCCCAGGTTGTTGTGGGGACTGCAGGTGGTGGCCCTGGTAAGATGCTTAGAGCCAAAGCTGTTCATGTGTCACATGGGAATGCAGGGAAGGGACCTCGCATCAAGCCACACCGTCCTCCCCACCCCCTCAGGTCCCAGTGGAGGGAAACCTCTGGGGTCCTTGTGACGTGCTCTCCCCGAGCCACCATTCAGTTTCTGAACTGGGGCTTTCAGTCATCCCACAGGCCTCGCGGAGGAAGGGGTGCCTGAAGCTCTGGAGAGGGTGCACAGGGCCTGGCAGAGTCCTGTCCTGCCCGGCCACGAAGCTGCTGAACCAGCTCAAGAAAACCTTCCTGCACAGAGTCAGAGGGAAATACCCGGGACAGCTGGAAATAGGTGGGTTCCTTCCTGTCCTGTCGTCCCCTCCCACAGAAAGGCTGTATTGAGTCTCCAGGGCCTGCAGGGTGGCCACAGCTGGCCTCATTTCAGCCCTGTCTTCGCCTCTGAGTGTCTTCATGCCATCAGACGGAGGAGGTTTCTCAGCTTCAGTGCAAGTCGCTGCCCTTTCACTGGGCGAGAAGGGGCCTCCACCTGGGGCCTTCTGAGCAGTCTATGGAGCCCTGAAGCTGCGTGCAAACCCTGATGGGCCAGTGTATTTTTCTTTTCTTTTTCTTTTT